AGAAGTAGAGACAACATCACATGTGAATATAGAGGTAGAGACAACATCACATGTGAATATAGAGGTAGAGACAACATCACATTTGAATATAGAGGTAGAGACAACATCACATGTGAATATAGAGGTAGAGACAACATCACATTTGAATATAGAGGTAGAGACAACATCACATGTGAATATAGAGGTAGAGACAACATCACATGTGAATATAGAGGTAGAGACAACATCACATGTGAATATAGAGGTAGACACAACATCACATGTGAATATAGAGGTAGACACAACAATCACAAGTGCACATGTACAGTATCATCATATTACTACCTTTGAACAAAATCAAGGCATGTCGATAAATGACATTAAACAGACACACTTCTTTGCATGCACAGACCCAAAAATGTAAGATCTTGCTTTTAAACTTCTAACGACACAAACACAAATGGAGAGTGGTGCATACATTTTCTCTCAGCCAATAATCAACTAGGACATCAAATTTATATTTTCAATAGGAAACTTGTTATTGATCAGTAAACTTAAAAAAGAAGTCCAGGCAAAAGGGGAAGCCCAGGCATATTTTACCCACAATCCTTTGTTGAAGAATCAAGATGGTGGATTACACGACACTGATGAAAAGTTAAATATCCAAGGAATGAAAAGTGATATGAAAAAATGATAATTGCATTCTGTTATATTTGTGGAGCTCTTTCATCTGGAATCATAATGTTGTTTGCCAAGCCTTTCTCTTAAAAATACTCTGAAAACTAAATAGTGAGATGAGAGTACTCACCATTCGCTGACTCTAGATGGCATACTTGCATTGCTAACATTACTTGATGTTGGGTCAGGCATATGCAAAACTTGTGATTCTCCAAGTTGACTATCCAATGTTTTTGAGTCTGACGTTTGTTCATTTTCTTTATGTTCCAATGATGTAACATTTTGTGATACAATATTATCCTGCTCAATGTGTTTTTCAGCATTACTATCAACGACACTGCTTCCAACACTACTATCAACGACACTGCTTCCAACACTACTATCAACGACACTGCTTCCAACACTACTATCAACGACACTGCTTCCAACACTACTATCAACGACACTGCTTCCAACACTACTATCAACAACACTGCTTCCAACACTACTATCAACAACACTGCTTCCAACACTACTATCAGCGACACCGCTTCCAGCTTTTGTATCAACGACACTGCTTCCAGCACTACCATCAACAATACCGCTTTCAACATTACTATCCACAGCACCATTTGATATTTTCATTGAATCCTTAGACGCAGAGTTCACAATTTTAGATTTTGGGGGGTCCTGCAATTTAAAAGTTGAATGCACATCCACTGTATCTGACACTGGTTTTTCGCACATTTTTTTGCTGCTGGTGTTTTCATTAATATCTTTCTTAGGTGTATTCTTTTTCATAGTATAATCATCAGTTACAATCCTAAATGAGGATCTCTGCGTAATTCCTACTTCACCATTTTTCCTATCTGTCAGTAAATCGTCAGAAATTTCAACATTCAATTCAATCATATGTTCACAACTACTGGTTTTTATGAGACGATGGTTGCTATGGTTACTCTGCTTCTCATCAGTATGTTCCACATTATTGGATAATTTTATTGCTTCATCATTTTTTAAGATTTCAGGAGATGGTTTACTTTCAATAATAACATTTGATATATTTGAAGATGTCTTTTTGTCGGTTGGAATTGATGTCCAATTTTCAACTGAAAGAAAAATCAAAGTTATATACAGTAGCAATATATAGTCAGGATTACTATAACAAACAACAAGCAGCCTCTCGGCTGAGATAGCTCCGCTGTTAGCAATGCACATTTCAATTAAAGAACTGAAGACATCATTAGAAAATGAACAATATGTATAGTATCAAAGCAATCGGACTTACAGTTTTTAACAAGAAGTCGAAAATATCACTTTTTACCAAAAATGACAAAAATATTCACCAAAATTAGAGAATTGAAGATATTATCACGAAATGAACAAATCTGAGAGTGGTCCACATGTAGTAACTATATATGTAGTATCAAAGCAATTGGACTTGCAGTTTTTAACAAGAAGTCGAAAATATCACTTTTTACCAAAAATGACAAAAATATTCACCAAAAATTAGAGAATTGAAGATATCATCACAAAATGAACAAATCTGAGAGAGGTCCACATGTAGTATCTATATAAGTAATATCAAAGCAATCGGACTTGCGGTTTTTAACAAGAAGTCGAAAATATCACTTTTTACCAAAAATGACAAAAATATTCACCAAAATTAGAGAATTGAAGATATCATCACGAAATGAACAAATCTGAGAGTGGTCTACCCAAGGTACATATACACCAAGTATCAAAGCATTCAGGTTTGTAGTTTTCAAGAAGAAGTCGAACAAGTAAAACATTGACACGGATGACGACGACGGACAATCACTCATATGATAAGCTCCGCTCGACAAAGTCGACAGCGGAGCTAAAAACTTTTATTTGCATTTATACATACACATGTAATGTGATTGCTTATATTACATGTATTAGATACATTATGATTGGTCTCTATCACATGTAATACATACACTTTGATCAGCCTATGTTACATGTATTACATACACCATGATCAGCCTATGTTACATGTATTTCACTGATCAGCCTATGTTACATGTAATACATACACTGTGATTGGCCTATATTACAAGTAATAAATATACTGTGACCTGCCTATATTACATGTATTATAAACACTATGATCAGCCTATATTACATACACTATGATTGGCCTATATTACATGTATTTCACTGATCAGCCTATGTTACATGTAATACATACACTGTGATTGGCCAATATTACATGTATTATAAACACTATGATTGGCCTATATTACATGTATTTCACTGATCAGCCTATGTTACATGTATTACATACACTGATTGGCCGATATTACAAGTAATAAATATACTGTGATCTGCCCATGTTACATGTATTACACTGATCAGCCTATATTACATGTATTACATACACTGATTGGCCTATATTACAAGTAATAAATATACTGTGATCTGCCCATGTTACATGTATTACACTGATCAGCCTATATTACATGTATTAGAGTGATCAGCCTATATTACATACACTGTGATTAGTCTATATTACATGTATTATACTGTGATCTGTCCATGTTACATGTATTACACTGATCAGCCTATATTACATGTATTACATACACTGATTGGCCTATATTACAAGTAATAAATATACTGCGATCTGACCATGTTACATGTATTACACTGATCAGCCTATATTACATGTATTACATACACTGATTGGTCTATATTACAAGTAATACATACACTGTGATTGACCTATATTACAAGTATTAGAGTGATCAGCCTATATTACATACACTATGATCAGCCTATATTACATGTATTTCACTGATCAGTCTATGTTACATGTATTAGAGTGATCAGCCTATATTACATGTAATGCATACACTGTGATCAGCCTATATTACATGTAATACATACACTGTGATTGACCTATATTACATGTACCATAATCATAATAATAGATTGACATGACGTAGTGTCTGCAATAACCCTCTCGATCAAATTAAAACCTCTGCTGATTAAACTAATAATTATTATTAATTTATACCCACTATAATTTCAAAGCACTATTGCTGGATTGGTTAATTTAAATTTTTCTATAAAATGCTTATAAAGTTCACAGTTTTCTGCCATACACTGTATAAGAGTTTTAAGTTCACAGTTTTCTGCCATACACTGTATAAGAGTTTTAAGTTCACAGTTTTCTGCCATACACTGTATAAGAGTTTTAAGTTCACAGTTTTCTGCCATACACTGTATAAGAGTTTTACCTTCAATGTTTGCTATTTCTTCAAGTTCTTTGTTGTCAGCTGGTAATGAGGTTGGCCTACCATTACTATTCTGTGTTCTATTCAATATATTATTAGATTTATTTCTTAAAGTGACTTCAGATACTGTACAACGCCTTGTATGGTACTGTAACAGAGGATCTGGTTCTGTCTGATGAAATGATACTTGTCTATCAAGTTGAAAATTAGGAGAATCTGGTGGAGTCAAAGATGAATGTAAAGTTTCATCACTGTAAAAAAAGAAAACAAGAAATATTGATTGGCTGCATTTAGGTCACATGACATTTTAAATATGCAAATTAGGAGAATACATGGAGTCAACAATGAATGTAAAGTCTCATCACTGTTAGAAAGAAAACAAGAAACATTGATTGGCTGCATTTAGGTCACATGACATTTTGAATATGCAAATTAGAAAACAATGGAGTCAAAGATGAATGTAAAGTTTCATCACTGTAAGAAAGAAAAGAAACATTGATCGGCTGCATTTAGGTCACATGACATTTTGAATATGCAAATTAGAATACAGTGGAGTCAAAGATGAATGTAAAGTTTCATCACTGTAAGAAAGAAAAGAAACATTGATCGGCTGCATTTAGGTCACATGACATTTTGAATATGCAAATTAGAATACAGTGGAGTCAAAGATGAATGTAAAGTTTCACCACTGTAAGCAAGAAAACAAGAAACATTCATCGGCTGCATTTAGGTCACATGACATTTTGAATATGCAAATTAGAATACAAAGTTTCACCACTGTAAGCAAGAAAACAAGAAACATTGATTGGCTGCATTTAGGTCACATGACATTTTGAATATGCAAATTAGAATACAGTGGAGTCAAAGATGAATGTAAAGTTTCACCACTGTAAGCAAGAAAACAAGAAACATTGATTGGCTGCATTTAGGTCACATGACATTTTAAATATGCAAATTAGAAGTTTTAAGCACAAAAATCTGGAATCAGATTGCAAAGGAGACCTGTATAAATAACCAAAGCTGCATGATGTATGTATGAAATTTGAATTTGAGGCATGTCTGAGATAGAGGTGGAGACACATGGACACCTGCATAGAGGTAAAAGTTCTTATTTTTGGAATGATTTGAATGATTTCACAAATTTATCATTGTTGGCGCTGTTGTTTAGTATAAAGTAAGGATTGTTGACAACTACATCCACTCATAAAAATAAAGCATATTAAGCAATTCTTATAAAGTAAACAAAATGCTAAGTTTATCTTACAACGCAACCTTACATGAAACAAGCATTAACAAAGTCAAGGATGATCGTTGGTGGCGTAGTAAGTGAGTTGCATGTGATTTTCGCGCTCCTGTTATCATATTTTTGCTGAATATTATATCGACAATCATGAAATGTGAGGACTGTGATATGAAGAGGAATGTCAGGCTGTGCGAGGGTGATATTTTGGTTTGAGCCAAGGCAACCAAAAAGGTCTGGAAACAAACTTTGAACAAAATAATCAGCTGTTTATAATTTGATATGCAAAAATTGCTTTGTATGAATTTTCTCAAAAAGTAATCTGGTTTGTAAACTGAATGTATTGCTTAAAATGAAACCCAAAACAAGTAGATATTTTGAAAGCTGAACATCACCACAACTACAGAAGGCTTCAGAATCTTTCTGACATTCACCCAATTATTGATTGATTTATTCCTGAAAAAGATCAGAATCACTGACCTTTGACACCATAACAGTACATGTACAATAAAAGTTAAAAATATTACATCTTTTATATACAGACATTACAAAACTGGATTATAGTTATAGCTTGTGAGGTACCGGGGTAACCAAGGCAACAATGAGAATCAAACAAGCAGCCTCTCGGCTAAGATAGCTTCGCTGTTAGCAAGGCACATTTCAATTAAAGAACTGAAGATATCATTAGAAAATGAACAATATGTATAGTATGTATAGCAATCAGATTTGCTGTTTTCAACAACAATTCAAAAATTATCACTTTTTTACCAAAGATGACATAAATATTCATCAAAATTAGATAATTAAAGATATCATCACGAAATGAACAAATCTGAGAGAGGTTCACATGCAGTACCTATATATGTAATATCAAAGCAATAGGATTTTGGGTTTTTAACAAGAAGTCGAAAATATCACTTTTTACCAAAAATATTCACCAAAATTAGAGAATTTAAGATATCATCACGAAATGAACAAATCTGAGAAAGGTCCACATGTAGCATCTATATATGTAATATCAAAGCAATTGGACTTTTGGTTTTTAACAAGAAGTCGAAAATATCACATTTTACCAAAAATTACAAAATATTCACCAAAATTAGAGAATTGAAGATATCATCATGAAATGAACAAATCTAAGAGAGGTCTACCCCAATTACATACACACCAAGTATCAAAAGCATTCAGGCTTGTAGTTTTCAAGAAGAAGTTGAAAAAGTAAAACATTGACACGGACGATGACGGACAATCACTCAGCTAAAGAGGAAGTCAGTTTTAAGTCATACATGTACAGTCTTTGAAATTACTGCCCGATCGTACGTCCGACACGGGTAACTATTCAGTCGGGCTGGTGAAAATCTTAAGTTACTAGCCCTGTGGTGCGGTAGATTTTTTGAGAAACTAAAAAAAAATATCACTTTTTACAAAATCCCAAAATGTCTATGGATGTTTGATTGTTGTCAAAGTCATATACCTAAAGGTCTGATGCGATGGTTTTGACACGTG